ATTTTCGGAACGAATGACACCACAAGCTCTTCTATTACTTGAAATTTTCAATTAAGTAAATTTGTATAAAAAAAAAAGTAACTCTCGAAGTAATAACACGAGTTATTGCTTCAGAAGGCCCCGGAGGGATTCGAACCCTCGATCTCCTGTTTACTAGACAGGCGCTTTAACCAACTAAGCCACGGCGCCGTTGAGAATGATTTTCCTAATTACTGTATTTCATGATAAATTTTTCGAAAAATAATTTTATTTTTTTGATGATTCATTCTTGTATATTTACAACAAACCATATCCCCATCTTCTTTTCATAAACTTTTCTTTATTCTTCTACAAATTGGAAAGTAAGAATATCAAGGTTTCCGTGATATTTTTCTTGTGACTTATTTTTCAAGAACAAGGAAACTATATATATTTTTATAATGGATATGCACTTACATAGTTTATGTGTTCTCATCAACAAAATATTTATACTTTTATATATATATATATATATATATATATATATATATATTTATCCGTATATACAATACATACACTTTTCATCTTATAAATTCTTTATTGCTCTTACAAATTGTAAAGCAAAAGCCTTAACCAATTTGTAATTTTTACATGTAAATATTTGTATTCACAAATGTTACTGTATGTGTAATTAATGTTGTACAATTAAACACACCATATGCATTGTGTTTATAAAATATACATACCTCTCGTTATCTCATGAATTACTTGTTACCTGTGTGAATGATAAATTACTTGTGTCACAATGGCGAAAACATTATTTTTTATTTTTCCTTATAAATAGTTTTATTTCAAAGCATTTCTGCACATGCACAAACAGGCTTCTCTTTTATAAATTATATTAACATCTATCTCGATACATGCAATATCTTTTACTGTCCGCAAAAAATTTCAGACAACTATAAGCAAGCAATGAGAAGCTCATTATCATACAGCTAGTCTAAATGTTTGAAAATCAAAAGATTCGCCCCCGGGTGGGCTCGAACCACCAACCTTTCGGTTAACAGCCGAACGCGCTAGCCGATTGCGCCACGGAGGCCTTTTGACTCCCGAGTGCTTTAAAGTAAAGTAGTGCTAGATTATTTTTTCTCTTATCGCAAAATCAGAAATAGCCAAGTTTGCGTAACTCGTGATATACTTGTTGAATTCGCATATCGTTCCTCAAGTCACAGTCTTCTTTTAACAAGTGTTCCTTATCAGAACACTTTTATAGATTGTCTACAAACATCTGATACGTTTACGCATATTGTTTCATTTTTATCTAATTACTCAATTTATTAAGAGAAGAAATACATTTCTATTTAACTCCAATTACTTGCAATCAATATGGAATATTTTATCCTTTTTCATGTCATCTACATTCGAAAGAATAACTAATATCATAAATTTTAATTTCCAGTCTTTGTTTGATTAAATAAATCGTTCTAATTTTATTGAATTGTTCTAATCACTTGAGTGTAGGATCAACCTATCAATTAAATTATGGTGTGATTAAATAGTGTGTGTGTGTGTGTGTGTGTGTGTGTGTGTGTGTGTGTGTGTGTGTGTGTGTG